TTCTTCTTGCCCTGGTGGTCTGCATATCGAAGTTAGGTGAAGCTTACAACCACTCAAGGTAGCCTGAACATACGAGGCTCACGGGCTTCGATCTCGCCAACAGTAGACAGATCACGTTGGTTCTGCTTCTTCTTCTTGCCCTGGTGGTCTGTGTCCAATGTGTGTTAGTCTCGAGGCTCTGGGTAGGATATACTTTGGTATGACATACGGGGCTCCCGAGCTTCGATCTCGCCAACGGCAGACAGATCTCGCTGGTTTTGCTTCTTCTTCTTCCCCTGATGGTCTGGCACAATAGGTTAGCAACCTATGGGGCCACATATGTTCCACTTCGGAGAGACTCACGAGGCTCACGCTCCTCGATAGCGGCCGGGAGGGCAAGGGCCGGAGCGGCGATGGCGACCAGAGTCCCGACACTGCGGAGGGAGATGGCCCCGGCGGCGGGGAACTGGAAGCTGGCAACGGTCGAGGAGGCGACCAGGCCTGTAGCCAGCAGCTGGACGAACGAAGGCGTATGCATTTTGAAAAGAATCCTTGCTGACCGGCAGCTGAAAAGAACGAATAACACTACAGGTAAAGAAAGAAATGAAACCACTACTGCGGGCTAACACCTGATCTCAGATACAGAGTGAGCAGGTTCCAAGAGAAGTGCGTGGGTTTGAGTGCTTTATATGTCACCCCAACACTCCTGAATAGACCCATGTGGAGGAGGGCTCCACGAAAATACGCTTATTCCCAACTGGCTTCATGTTCCCCATGCCTGGCTAGGGGAGCCTGCTCGGCACCTCGAGCTTGGCTTGGGACTAGAATATGTCAAACCTGATCGCCGTTCCCTCTTCTGTCGGAGGGTCACGTCTCATGATGGACGACCGAAACAGCCTGTGGGCCATCGTGATGAGAGGCGGCTGGGAGAGGCATGGGTGACGAAGGAGAAGAATAGCAACAAGTTGCCCAACACGATGCTACGCTCATTCTGCAGCTCAATGGCGTCAACAGTATTCAATGCAGCACCCAATGGCGTTCCTCCCAAATTGTTTTGGATCGAGGGGCCGAGAGCAACATGGGTAGGGTATGGTGTGCCGCGATGCCGCAGTTCCTGGGGGCGGCGCAACGCTAGAAAAGCTTCAATGCTGAGGCTAACGAGCAAGCATCACTGTGCTTCACACATCGTGAGAAAAGGGGGACATATCACTTGGCGGGCTGCAATACTGTTATGGCTAGCCCTCCCGGTCGCTGACAAGGGCCTCTGCTAATTATGTCTACGCTAACATCTCTCGCAACCAGGACATGAGGTTGTCTGCGGCATAAAGGGTCTTTTACGGTGCAGCCGTGGATCGTAGAGACGGCGAATGGCGTGCGAGCCCGACAATGCTATTCCCATGGTCTCTCGCGCACATCCTGTCTGGGCAATTGGTGATCATATGCAACAGCTCGGCTATTCTTCTGCTGCGTCGCGAGGCCTTTCGAAACTGGGGAAGCAATAACGAGCCCTGAGAGGTCGCCCGCTTTCGTCTAGACTAGCCGCTTCTTGAACCCCAGCTGAAACCCCAGCGCCTCAATTTCCTGCTTGCCCACGGCATTCTGAAGCACCACACCATTGCTTCAGCTCTATGCCTTTTACGATGCGCTGAAACCCCAACGAGCTTCACTCAGACCTCGCAAAGTGGATTCGATGTTGACTCGCTAACTGCGCGCACAAACAGAAAGAAGGATGTACCGAAATAGGCGCTCGGGGAGACTCCGACTCAGTGTTTAATGCCTGTAGGTGCTAGCTGAATGAAGAGAGTCGCTAAGAGGCCATGAGGCCCTGCGCGTGCCAAGATCTCAAACAACATGGAACCCCAGACGGCCATCCACGTCCGTCTCAAGTCTAGAGCCGGCAATCAAACGTTTCGTCTTTTCCTGCCGTGCAAAACTCTTTGGTAAGAATTGCTGTAGCCAATCCAGTCTTTCTTTTTTCCTTCTCGCGACAACCTTCTGTTCTGTGAGCCGGACTCAACGAGTGATTTGCTCTTGATTTGCATCTTTACGACGATCCTTGTCTTGTCCTAAGAAGCACACTGGGAAGAGAGCGCATCACACGCACAGGAGAGATCAACGCCACAGCCTCTCTCGGCTGCACCTCCCCCTTCTACGAGTTCCTCGTTGTCTTGTCTCTCCTACCCAGCAGTCCCGTAGACGAGAGCATTTCTTGAGCCTCACTACACTTCTTTGCTTGGCACCTGGTGTGCTCTTTAGTAATTACATTCTTTTCAACATGCCGAAGCTTTACCACGCCGTGCCTCTGGACGAGGAGCAGCAACGTCTTAACGGATCATTAGAAAAGGAGACGAGATTCCTGTCGACTAGGGAAGACAGGCAACTGCTTGGGCTGCTGGCCAAGCACTGGATGTGGCTTGGCCATGCTGTGCTGCTGTCAATGTCATTGACCCTATTCACACTCTCCTTCTGCCAGCGAACAGCGAGGCCATCAGATCTGACTGTCACAGAACAATTCTCATCATACTGTAAGTGGCTCGCCGCCCCACTGCCACTCTTTGTCACAGGAGCTGATCTCAGCCAGCGCCTGCTGCACCTGCGGTGAAGTATGACACGGTCAGATACAACCTCACGCCGGTGGTGGACGGTCCGTACGTTGGGTACGGGCCAGAGGTGGACGCAATGTGGGATCACATCTCAGACAGTATGTCAGCACCAACCGATTTCGACGGGCTCTGCTAATTCAGAATGCAGTGGGCGATCAGATGATCTCAGAGGAGGAGTTGGACCGCCTCGGCCTTCCGAGGAACTCACTCAAGATCAAGGACCCAGTGACGGGCGTCGAGGGCTACAGAGCAGCCGTGGAGGTCTTCCATCAGCTGCACTGCCTCAACTTGCTCCGGCAGTTCCGCCACAAGGAGTACTACAAGGACATTTACAGCGATATCCAGGAGGAGGAGGAGGGTCTCATGGGCCACGTCGGTGAGTAGCGCTGCTTCTTGGAAGCTGGTCGCTGAGAGTTCGACACTAACTCAAGACGTAGATCATTGCATAGAAGCACTGCGCATCAACCTGATGTGCACCGGCGACATCGGTATCTTCACCTTCCGCGAGTACCCGGAGTATGGCTATGAAGAAGGCGACTTCTGGCCGGATTTCAGCACGCTGCATACCTGCAGGAACTTCGAAGGGATTCGTTCATGGGCCGAAGACCATGTTGTCTCGTGGGTGCACGAGGTTTGAGCAAATCAAGCCCTGCTTCAAGGACCTCCACTTGTCTAGATGACGCTTGGAAGTCGACCAGTGGCTCGTTCATGGCATTTGGGGTAGCGGACCAGGCATGTCACAAGGCATCGACCGGTGCTCAGGCCCGGCAGTGGAATGCATCATCTGAATGATGACTCGAGTTTGAAGAGAGACTGCTTGGCCGAAGAAGCGATCAGCAGTCGAGCGACTCAGCCATGGCCTTTCAACGCCTGTATATAGATGTATATAGACAAAGGGCGACTGGGAGGCGACAATTGTTTGCTGTCGTAACACATCCCATTGCCAATTCCGACGTTTGATACCTATTTCGAGTCAATTACGATTCAAAACAGACATGGAAGCCTATCAGAGCGTGAGCCGCCGTTTCATAGCGAATTGACGTAGTCGGATTCGTATTCGGACAGACATAGCGTCGAATCCGTAGAATACCCGAAGAACACACGTAGAAAGGGCTGTGGGCGTTGGCATGCGTGCGTGCGTGCGGAGCCGAACAATAGGCAAGTGGCGTGTCCTGGATCTCGCAGGTTCCGGGCAGAAAGCAGCCAACCACTTGGCACATGCATTGCCGCAACTATATTGATCCTCCGCCGGCTTGCCCCTGAACCAATTGGACCTGGTGAACGAGGCAGAGGGGTGTGTTAGTGGTATGTTTGCTGGAGATGGGCGGTGTAGACGGGGCGGCGGGTAGGGGGCGGATTGAGGAGGGATTGGCGAATGGGTGGTGAGAAAAGCGGAGAGCTCTATCAGATCTGATAAAAAATCGACCTTCTTTTTGATGGGAAGCTTACCTTCTTTGTATCTAAGGTATTAGCACATAGGGGACCAGCCCAGCAAGCTTACCTAGGCCCAGGAATGGCCGCCGCCGAGGAAGATGTTCGTTCGTCCACCCACCCAGCAAACAGAAAACATGCCACTTTCTTGCACCGCTTTCCTGAGCTTCCGAAGAGCTACCAGTGCCTGCTATTTACCTACACTAGTACGCAGCACCGGCATGCCTGTCCGCGGGGGCAGGGGTGGAGGTGCTTAGCAGCAAATCACAGCGCCCAGCGGCCCCTCCATCGTGCTATTACGCACGCCGATTGCACGACAGCCTCCCGGCCACTGCATCTTGACAGTCTGATTTCGAGATGCCATCGTACCGCAGACCCGCAAGTTGACCTCCCGGGAAATTCTGCGGTGGGTACCGCTCATCAAGCGACCAACCGTAATCAAGGTACGGCACGGTATCTACTATGCAGTACTGCGGTAGGTAGAGTGCCTGATCTTGCAGTACTTCACTCACCACACAACCTGGGTAGGTTGGTAGGTATCTTGTGTTCCAGGTTGCCTCTCTCCGGTCCGGGGGAGCGACGACTCGAAGCCGATATATCGCCCTTGAGCCCCCCGTTTTCTCGGCCACAAGTGTTGCCTCTCACTCTTTCTCATTCCTTTTCCTCCCCTTATCCTTACAAGCACACCAACCGGCTCGAGGCGACTTCTCGGGTTTTCCTGCTTCGGACAACAGTTTCGAGCGCGCGCTGTTGGAGTGTTTGGAGAACGAGGGTCTTCTCCAAGACCCCTTCACTCTTCCCGTGCCCCTTATCCCCTTGTCGGTGGGCCCCCTAGCACTTATCGCGACCTACCCTGAACAATCGATAGTGAAATTGATCAGGCGAGTTTGGCCACCGTGGATCTTCGAGCACCGGTATTATATATAATTGCAAGGGCTCCCCCAACCGACAACCGGCTGGACTCTTGTCACTCTTTGATTCCAGAGTCTTGACGTTCTTTCTGAAGTTCTCTGAACCACCGCCGCCGCCATGGATATCGTTCTTGAGGTGACGGACAGCTTCATTGGCGACTACTTCTTTTCCTGGGTGCTGCCCGCGCGCCGGGCGCCGTACGATTATCCAAATGTGCCCACTAACGGGACCGACCAAACCTTCTCGACATGGCAGTACAAGCCTTCGACTCACTTCTTCACCATTGAGCCCTCGCAGGCTGCATACATGAGCGCATGGCCTCGCGACAATATCTTCCGCCAGGCGATTTCCCTCTTCTTGATCACATGGTTGGTTGGCCACCTCCCCAATCCGTACCCGCATCTCTTGCACGTGGCTGACCTCTTGCGCCTCACAGGGTCTTCGGCCTCATTGTATACTTCGTCTTCGCGACGTTAAGCTACATCTTTGTGTTTGACAAGAACACCAAGAACCACCCTAAGTACCTCAGGAACCAAGTATGGTTGGAGATCAAGCAGACCAATGTGTCTATGCCAGGAATGGCACTGTGCACGCTGCCAATTTTCCTGGCCGAGGTCCGGGGCTTTGGCAAACTCTATGACCTGACGGAGGAGGGCCCGGGAGGGTGGTATAACTGGGCGCAGTTCCCGATCTTCATCGTCTTCACCGACTTCTGCATCTACTGGATCCACCGCTGGCTACACCATCCGTTCGTCTACAAGCATCTCCACAAGCCTCATCACAAGTGGATCATGCCCACCCCGTTCGCGAGCCACGCCTTCCACCCGCTCGACGGCTTCGCGCAGAGCTTCCCCTACCATATCTTCCCCTTCCTGTTCCCGCTGCAGAAGCTGGCCTACGTTGGACTATTCGTCTTTGTCAACTTCTGGACCATCCTGATCCACGACGGCGAATACATGGCGAACAACCCCATCTTAAACGGGGCGGCCTGCCATGGCCTGCACCATCTCGCCTTCAACTACAACTACGGCCAGTACACGACCATCTGGGACAGGCTGGGCGGCAGCTACCGCCAGCCGGAAGCGAGCATGTTCGACAAGAAGACCAAGATGTCAGAGGCCACTTGGGCCAAGCAGACGTCCGAGATGGAGAAGATGGTGCGCATCGTCGAGGGCGGAGACGACCGTGTCTACCTGCCTAGCGACGCCGAGACGAAGAAGCGGAGGTGAGGAGGGTCAGACCATGAGTTGCGGGATCTCGGGGGAAAGGCGGGACGAACCCCAATGTCCGGGACGGCGTCCTAGCTTAATCACATAGGGACAGGTTTCAAAACACCCGGGAGAGATTGTACCTACGTACGGATGTGGTCGTCTGAATGGCTCAGACTGTATATATATATCGGAGCTGCCGACTCCTGAGATGACGATTCGGGCAACGGCGTTAAAGGGCACACCAACAGGGTGGTCTGGTCCATTCGCTGTATGGCTAAACCTACTATCAAGACCCCCTGAAAACTATTGGTCTCGATGGACGCTGGGATTATAATATTATTTTAATGGTAAAATTAGACACTATCACTTCTTGCAGATTCAGCTGTCCCTTCAGCGTGAGAGGTGGGTGAAGTCTTGGAACATGACGTAGAGTTGGGGTATTTTACCGAGGGTGTTCCATAGACTTCGACAGAACTGTACAGCTAAATTAATATAACACTATTACCCCTAAGTCAGATTATTAACAGAGATAGAGTTTGAATGCCTGACTTCAATACGCATCAGGTGACAGCAGAACGAAGACCAGTTACAACTCAGCCGCACCTCTACAACACCGCTTTCTTGGTCCCGTCCACCGAAGCGAATAACTTTGTTGGATGATTCTGAGCGCGCTTCAGACCACCTGCCTATTGGTGTTGGATGGTAGTACATGCGGCCTAACTGGGACCTGCCTTAGCGCGCAGGTATCGTCTCTAAGCTGACCTACCAAGATAGAGCAGCACCATCCCTCTCTATCACCTGCCTTTCCCAGCCCCAAAGTCAATATCCTGACATTACATTGTTGATTCTACGACCCGAGAGCGCGGGGTTCTGTTGGACTGCCGTGACTGACCGATAGAGTATATGGGTTGGCGTATACGGGTACGGGATAGTCAAATTCCTGAGCGTCTGAGGTTGCATTGAAGCGCTTCTCCTGCGTATCAGCTGCTTACACCGGAGCACTATCCAAGTGGTCGAAGTTAACTTGAACGCCCTTTTTGAATTGTACAATCTCACGATACTGGAGGTCTCTGGGCCACCTTCTGGTAGGATGTCCTCGGGGCATCTTCGCTGCCTGGGAGTGAAGAGCTGGACAAGTAGCAGGCCTCGCCAGGACTGAAATCCGCTGACCTGTAGGCTGACCTTTCCAATCCCTTCAAGTCTTACCTTATGGGGCTAGCCTTGAGCTTTATGCTCTTCATGGTAGTGAATCTTACGATCGTTGCTCGCCCCCTGACCTGCATGCTCGTGAACACTTTGCGGCTTTCATCAAATGAGCTTGTCTAGTTTGGCGAGAACCATGGTCTTGGCAGATAAGGAGACCATTCACGGCTTGACACGATGGCAAGTGTCTATGCTGTCGTGCGGCAAGCGCGCGTGATGCAAAGCTCGAAGGAGCAGTAATTGGTGGACATCCCGATGAAGCAATCACTAGCATCTGGAGACCTGCAGATACACCAGCCACTCTGAAGCTACTGTTTAAGCTTGTGTGGTCGTGAAGTTGCATCAGATAGCTGTCCAGGCATCTGCCAAGATCATTATTGATTTGCCGTTTACTGCTGGCTCTCGACTCGTGTGATATCGTTGACGATGTCCGGATATCCGTGCCGTATGAGAGAGGAAGGGAATACAGAGAGCGCTCCCAATTGAGGTATAAATGCGCCGGACTTCTAGCTTAGGATGAATGATCCTATTGCCTCAACAACGTTGAAATTGCTGAATCACATTATATATCCGAACACTGCCCAGCATGCATGTTCTCCTTTCTCGCTTGTGCCACCGATGGGATGACTGGAATCTATGCAGGTATAGCTGACGTTTATCCCAAAACTGACGACCTCGACAATTTTTTTGCTCGTCTCACAACATCTCGTTATGCGATCCCTGCTGCCTATCTAGGGGATATCTCTAAATCAGACGCTGTGACTAAGGCCATTGAGTTCCAACACGGGGTCATTCGTGCTCAGAACCTGAACGCCAGATATCGCATCGGTGCCAATGAGACTGCAGACGTTTCATGGGGGGATCCAAACGACCCGGAGCGACTTCGAAGGCTACCTGTAGACCCGGAGTACAATGTAACGGCGACTGGCCCTCAAGGTCGGCGGCGCGTCGTGCAGGATGAGGCGTCGACGCGAGTTCTGCAAGATTTATTGGCCGCGACTCTGGTCTTCCTTCTGCTCGGTTGGGGGCTGTTGACGGACACAGATTCGCTTCCACGGTCTCCGACAGGAATTGCGAGTGTGGCTGCTTTTGTCGCAGACGGGAACCTTCTCGATCACCTCCCCGAAGATGCGGAACGGCTCAGCGACAAGCAGCTTGAAAGAAGTGCCTTCGGTGATGGAGCAATGTTTCGGATGGGCTGGGGTCACAGCGGTTCTCAGAGAGACGCTGGGAATAAAGACGATAACAAAGGGGAGACGTTCGGGATTTGGGTTGTGGAGAGAGATGATAATCTGATTGAGCAATGGGACCCGAGATGAAAGATGACATCAAAAAGGAGACAATGATAAATAGACATAAATTCAATATACTCCTCCGCTAGAGTAATGAGTGCTAGTTCGGCAAGAATATCATGACCTCTTCAACAAGTTATCACTACATCGAAGTCATAGACATGTAGTGAGAACCAGAATCTTCGAGTTCTCGATGAGTATGACGAGTCTCGGCATTTAATAGCTTTACCCATAAAGGATCAACGTCTGTCACCTTGACGGAAGTGTATAACTTCCAATCGGGAAGCCGGGGTATAGCGTCGAAACCTCCATTATCAACCTGGACTTCCTTGATGTCGCAAAAGACTTTCACAAAGATGTTTTGAAAATAGATATGACAATTTTGCAAGAAGCCACAATACGCTTGAGTAGACTATAGACCGTTCATGTAATAAAACTGGGCGCATGCCATGTGGTAGAGAAAGAAACTCGAATGCTTTCTTAGCGAAAACGAGAAATCTCTTGGTATCAAATGACCAAACAAGCCCAGCACCAGCTGAGATTCAAATGTCTCCTCTTGAGACCACTGCTGTGATCCCCAGCCATTATCCCTGAATGCCTCAAACGCCAAATAACGCCTGCTGAAACTTGATAGAAATCATGCTCGAGCCTCGCAGTTCTCTGCTTACTGTCCACGCACAGCAACCCTAAGAAGACCCCTGCAAGATCATGAGAAGCTCACGAACTTGGGATCTCTCGGTCGCCCATCCGCATCGATGCCGTTGTCGCGGAACCGCTGTTCCATATACATTTTGCGGGCATCGTCGAACTTCAACCGGCGCTTCTTCATGATCTTGAGAATCTCAGCCTTGCTCGCATCATCGAGCCCCGCGCGACTATCGCCGCCCTCAACATTTCCTGACAGGTCGAACGTGTTGCTGGACAGCCCGGCTTCTATGTCACCGGCAAAAGAGCTCGGGAGCCGGCTGTAGAGGTAGTCGCGCCCGGGGAACCGGATGTGGATGTCAGGAACGAGGTGCTGCCACTGTGACCGTGTGTAGATGAGAACCGTCACCAATATGAGGAACATAAACGTGATGGAGAAGAGTATGTAGCCCATCGTGGTGGTGAAATTGGAGATGTGGCCGGCTTGGCTGCTTTCGGGTTCGACGGATCGGGTGATGGCCGGGATACAAGGGACTAGAAGAAATGGACGATTACAAAAGAGAGTAAGAACGAATTTAATAGTTAGCCTTGTGAAGGTTCTGAGACCATGCCAGGCGTTCGATCGCCTGTCCCCATGAGTTGGTGATAACGGGAATTGTTGGTTGAAGCTCGATGAGATAGATGCTACGGCTACAACGGAGGCCGTCTGCAACTGATGGCGTCGCAACCCGGGGGCTGAGCTGGGGGGCACGGACCATTACCATGAATACAGCATTCGACAGATGCTAGCGTGACAAGGAGCTAGCACAAAAGCGGTTAAGCGAAGCACACATTTTGTGAAGGAAACACCCCAAACTACCAATTTCGAGATCGAAATTCGTCGACGCTCAACCTGCCACTCGAGACAGCTTTCCCTTGGACATTTCGCAAAGGAACCACACAATCATCACAATGGGTCTTCCTAACGTTTCTGCAGATCTTGTCTGGGAGATTGTTCGTATGTATTTCTCGACATTCGGCAATAGCAGGGCGCTCGTTTCTAACACAGCATTGATTTCCAGGCTCCCAGAACGCCTACCTCGTCAAGTCTAAGACTGCCGGCAAGGTCCAGTTCTCTCGCGACCCCCTCAACTTGACGAACAAGCACAGCCGCAAGGTACGAAATATCCGATGTGAATTTCCATGGCTGTAATTATGAGGCTAATTTAGAGCGCAGTATGCCGGTTTCGTCAACGACAAGGTACAAATCCGCGATTTCGAATGCGCAATGAATTGACCACTGATTCTTGGGAAAATTATAGGCCATTGGTATCACTGGCGGTGAGAAGGGTGGCGTCCAGGTCGTCAGCAAGAAGGCCGGCAGCGCCAACGCCCCGGCCAAGGGCTCCCACAAGGTGACCTTCGGCGGCGCCAAGTCCTCAAGGAAGTGAGTTGCTTCCATCTACGGGATTGAAAGTGTGGATTTGGGCTGACAGGATATCGCTAGGATCTACAAGTCTGTCGCCAACCAGACTGCTAAGTCCGGCTACCGTGGTGACCTCCGCGAGGCCGCCGTTGCCCGTGCCAGCGCCATCCGACGATCCCAGCGACCGGTCAAGCCGGAGCCGGAGACCAAGCTGAGAGGCTCAAAGGCCAAGAAGGCTGCCGATAAGGAGTAAGGCAGTCGAGGGAAGGATTAGGGGGTGAGGGAAGAGATCTCTGGGAAGTCAATTGCATGCATGGACGGTGGATATCCTGACCGGTTATCGGTCACACTCACGGGAGCCATTTGCTATCATTGGAGTCAACGGTCAAAGGTCCAATGTGAATACGGAAAAAATCCGGAAGCGCCAGAGCAGCTGTATCTGACACGTGAATGCGATGTGCGGCCACCAACCCTGTGTGAAATGAGATCGGAAGAGAGAACGCACTGCCTTAGCCTCATTTGCCAAGCTAATGACGTGAGGCTCCGGAAAGCCTCATAATGCCATTGATCTGTGCTGTCGAATTATACCGGTCGTGAGCCGTAGTGTAGTCCGGCTGCCCGGCCGAACCCGAATGCCTGGCAGTCCAGCGATCCAGTCGGCACCTCGGAAGGGCACATGCCGGCAATTGCTTGAGATTGGTCCATTTTCGTGCCATAGCCGGGAACTACCTTATTACCTGTATATATATGAGCCATGCTGTTGCAGTCTAGTACCCGGTGAGGTGGTTGTATTTATATAGAAGCTGAAGCCTGCCTGCACTTGCGATTCGCGAAGGGTACCAAGCTCGATTCAGCGTGGGTCGTACAGTGTTGCGCGTGTGAAACCGACCAACAGAGCCTGCGACAATCTCACTTACGTGACGGTAACCACCTAACTTACCTTAGCCGGCCGCATTAACAGCTACCGTTACCCCGCCAAATCCAGACGGTTCGCCAGAGGGGTTTCTTGGGTCATCCAGGTGTGAAGAACCTTCCAACTCCCAACAAATAACCCTCAACGCCCTCTACGCTCCATTCTAAGGTATCGTCGTCCCTGTTCCGAGCTCCC